GGGACGGACAGATGTGGGGTGGGGGGCGGGGGTTGGTGTAAACTTGGGAATGGACAGATGGGGGGGTTGGTGTAAACTCGGGAATGGACAGATGGGGGGGTTGGTGTAAACTTGGGAATGGACAGATGGGGGGGTGGCGTAAACCTGGGGAATGGGGGACGGATTGGGTGGCGAGAGTGGAGAGCAGTGTAAACCCTGGGGAGCGGAGTGTGGTGTATGCTCGGGCAGAGTCGGCACTGCTCCAGTGTACCGGGGAACATCGATGTTGGGTGGATGCTTGGCAGAGGGTTGTGTCCCCACTCATCCGTCTCTTCCCCCACCCCCACTCCGCCCCTGTTTTAACCCCCAGGAGTTGCAAGAGAACCAGAGCACCCCGAAACGTGAGAGGCAAGAGTGGCTGCTGAGACAGAAGGAGAACCTGCAACACGCACAGGCCGAGGAAGAGGCGAACCTTCTGCGACGGCAGCGACACTACTTGGAATTACAGTGCCGTCAGTACAGGCGCAAAGCCTTACTGTCCCGACACAACTTGGAACAGGACCTACTGCGCGAGGTAAGGCCCACACTTTGTGTGTGCTGCTGGCTGAGCGTATATGTTGGGAGGGGGTGTGGGTGTTTGGGGAGGGGCGATCACAGATGGGATGGCAGCTCTTCACCGACAAACTTCCAATCACCACCTCTTTCCATTCCCTGCGACGTGGCTGTCATTGGGCTGGTCCAGCCTTTAATTATTGAACCACAGTCGCTGGCCTGGCCAGCATTTACTGCCCCGTCCCTAATTACCCAGGGGGCAGTTTAGAGTCAGCCATGTCTGGAGTCACATGTAGGCCAGATCGAGTAAGGATGGCAGTTTCCTTCCCTAAAGGGCATTAGTGAACCAGATGGGTTTTTCCGACAATCGGCGATGGATTCATGGTCATCGTTAGATTCTTAATTCCAGATACTTTATTGAATTCAAATTCCACCATCTGCTGTGGCAGGGATTCGAACCCAGGTCTCCAGAGCATTATCTGGGTCTCTGGATTAACAGTCCAGTGATAATACCACTAGGCTGTCACCTCCCCAAGATTACCCTCCTTTAAAGGACATTTACTGAACTTGACAGCAGTTCAATACAATTGGCAGCATTTAATTCCAGCTTTTTATTGAATACGACTGTCACAACCTGTAGGGGTTTGGACACGTTCCCATTAACAGCCTTCTTCCCTCTTCTCCCTACCCCGCCTTCTCCCCTCTTCCTTCTCTCCTCTGTCCCCATCTCTTGCCCCTCACACTGTCTGCCCTCACCTTGTCTCTCTCTCTCTCACACCATCTCTCTTCCCCACCTATCCCATCCCTGTTCTCTCTTCTGTAACTAATGGATTTTCTTTCTCTCTCTCTCTCTGTCTGCACCGCACCCCCCCTCCCCTCTTCTGCAGCTGCCCCCGCCCCGCCCCGCCCCGCCCCTCTGTCTGCACCCTCTTCCCGCGTCCGGTGTCCTCTAACTAACAGATATCCCGTCTCTCTCTCTCTTTCTCGGCCAGGAACTGAACAAAAAGCAGACGCAGAAGGATTTAGAGTGTGCGATGTTACTGAGACACCACGAGTCAACGCAGGAGCAGGAGTTCCGGCACCTGAGCACTGTTCAGCGAACACGCACGGAACTGATACGACTGCAGCACCAGACTGAGCTCAGTAATCAACTGGATTACAACAAGAGGAGGGAGCAGGAGCTGCGTCAGAAACACGTGGCGGAGATTCGACAGCAGCCAAAATGTCTTAAAGTAGGTCCTGGGGGAGAGCTGCAAATGGAGGGGGAGAGGGTCTCTGTGGAGGATGTGAGCCTGAGCTGGGACCCCAGGGAGAGTGATACGGCTGGAGTCATTGGCTTAGGGGGCTCCCTGGAGGACGTGAGCCGAGGCTGGGACCCCGGGGAGAGGGGAATC